TTCTTGCCTTTGAATTTCTATTTCAGTCATGTGCTCAGGTTGCATACCTGCTCACTTGATGGCTTCTTTCCTCAACGGGACGCATTTAGCATCAGCTGAAGTGCAGTTGCATTGTTGGCACGGGTGTTGTCAGGTTGTCCATAAATTAACAACTAAACCAGTGGCCCTTGCATTTCCTAGGCCATCCGGTGCGGTCATGTTTACCACCCCTTGCCCTCAGCCTGACACCCTCATGTGTCAAAGCCTCCTGAACCAGTTGGTCCAGCAGTCCTTCATGAGCATCAAACAGAAGAGGCAAACTGTCATATGTGCTGGTTTTGAGATATATCTGGGTATGAAAGGGGAAAGGTTACCCTGATGAGGGCAGATATCCTGATACTTAATTTATTAAACACTACTTTTTTATGGTGTTTGAACACCATGACCCTGCTATATGGCCTTTTGCACCACTACAAACTTTCAACTAGTGGCTCTGTAGTGGTGTGCTTTACTCATTCACCTAACAAGTGAGAGATCTCCGGTTATGGAGTTATGTCATGAAGGGCATCCAGTGTAAAAATGTGCCAAATCAAACATGCAAAATGACCCCTTGTGAATAAGAGAACAGCTGAAAGTAGCTTCTTCTACAGTTCTGAAACAGGATGAATCAAAGACATGTAACAGGACGAAAACAAACATTTTCAAGCCAATCACTAAGACAGAGTTTGATCACACATGGCTTCTTTTGTACAAGCGCATAAGAAAGAGACATTTTTTTCTAATCTACTTCAACTGAATGGAGACAAAATTAAGAATCTTTAAAAGTATGTTCAGATCAAGTTTGTATGGTAGCTCAGAAAGCCAAAATCTTGATGTTCTTATTATTAATTTTTGACCTGTGACACTTTTACTGTCATTTCAGCACAAAGATGATACTATGACCCAAATGACTAACCTGGGAAATTTTGTGGATATGTGAGTGTTGCATTATAACATGCCAAGATGGAAACAGTGCTTTTAAATTTTTGCTATGTCCTTGTTTCTTCAGATATTTTTGTCACCTCTTTACATCCAAAATATAACTGGTGACCCACTTAGGATTAATGTTAGGGGTAGGATTTGGTTAACACCCTCTTATATTGAATTTTCACCTTTCTGGATCACCCAGATGGATATGATTTTATCATATAAGTTTGAATACTCAAATACAACATCTGCTTTGTGAAAAGCAGGACACGTGTATTTGTCTCCTCCAAACTGAGAAATCACTAAGAAAAAAACATTACTCAGTGCTCAGTACAATAACTCTGACAGGGACGGGACTTTATTCATCAACAATGGGCCTTTTCTTTAATTTACAGAGTTCATACCACCACTAAATCTTTGGGAGTAAATTATAATTATCTTTGACAAACGCATGCACATACACACAGAACTGTGATCTCAGTCATCAGCTGCATTATTATATTCCAGATAGTTCTGCCATAAATGGATGCAGAAAAGCTACGTACTGACCCAGAAACATTAATCAGAGTGCAGGAAATGAAGTTTAAGATTTCCTGGGGAAGGAACTACTTTCAATTAATGCCCAAGCCCAATGCAGAAACAAAACCTACGCCCATGAATTTACAGTAACTACCCGTGATGACCGGCTTTTGCTTGTGAAAGCATCACAGGATGTAAAGATCAACAACACTCTGCTCAGCTGAGCTGCAGTGTTAGCTAGCTCCAAGTTCATTTGGTTAGGACCAACAGAAGGTTGAAAAAATAGGTCCTAAATTAAACTGATTCAAAAATTATTGATTTTACTTATTTACTGTATTTTGAATAAACTGATCACAATTCTTTTCTAATATATTCTTTTGGAGCTTTGAGCACCCAGATATCATATATAATATCAGTTATATCAGTTTATCAATAAAAGTTAGCGATCTCTACGTCTTATATCCAACAAACTGGGCAACTCATGCTAAAAACAGTTTAGACAGATATATACATCCTCTGGTCTATAATCCTTTGATATTACAGCCCAGATATAAAATGTGCAAATATAATTACAAGTCATAATTTTATCTCATTTTCTTGATTTTTAAACTTTCCCTATAGACATTAATCTGTTTGTGAAGGTCTAAATCAGGAGTGTCCAACTTGTTATAGTTCATGGATCACAATCTGATTATAATAACCTGTGTGGAAAAAACAAAAAAACATATAAAAAAGTAAATGTACATTTGGTAAACTGTGACATTTTCACAGTTCATAAACCATCAGTTTAAGAAAAGATCCTAAGATTTTTTTTAAAGAAAAATAGACATGTAGAGTCGTAGTTTGTGTCTTTTGTTTCACATCAGTCTAAAAACACTTGTATACACATATTTTCACCACACCGGAAATTGTAGCACATTGAACTGAAAATCACCTAAGGAATTAATGACGTCACTATAATTTTTAACACTCTCCACACAAGTGGACGGACCATGCAGTGGGCCAGTTCTGGCCCCTGGGCCCTATGTTTGACACCCTTGGTCAACATAAGAATTAAACCACGGTTCACAAAACACGTCTTTGTTTTCATTTGGTACAATGTTATTACTCAAAGAAGGCATGTAACAATGGCCTTTTCTCGTCTTAATGAAAGACTTAAAGAAGAGTCTCTGCACTGATGTGGTCTTAATTGAGGGATTAATGAATGGATATTACGTACATTACCAAACCATATGCTGATCCTCGTTTAATTAGACTCTTTTCGTGAAATCCTGGTCAAATTGATCGTAAGCCGGGTCGAGTCGAGTTACACTCTAATTATTAGGCCCCAAACCCTGAGGTGCCCTTGGTCACTGGCTCTACAGCTCATGGGATCTCCTAATGGAGAGTCGCGGGGCTAATTGGGACACAGGTAAGGTTACATGTGACAGCAATTAAGCCGAGCAAAGGGCCAACTGTGTGGCCTCCGGCGATCCCGGCGCAGCACTCGCGATCCCTGAGTGCTGTTTTTGTCTTTTTAGCGCTTTTTTCTTTTTTGGGAGAAGCAAAGCTGAGAGGTTTCCCCCCTTTAGTCTATAGCAGAGATCAGATTATGTAGAGAGCCTAAATCCCATATCGTTTTCAGCTACTCTGGACATATAAATTGCTAAAACGTTTGCGTTTTACTTTGTTTTTAGTTCACTTTTCCATTTTATTTTATGTATATATATATATATATATATATATATACATAAATTTTATTTAACGCACACATGTTACGACGTTTATTTAAAGACTTATATGTAACAAGAAACCTGGTTTATTCAATTTCATCGTTTCCATTAGATAAACAATTATTTTCCCAGAAATCAGAGACAACTATCATGTAAACTGACAGTAAGAAAACCAGAGACTGTAGTTATTGAAAGAAAAAACAAAAGCCAAAACCAAAAAACAGCCTGCGTGTTGTCCAGAGGGGAAGTGCGAGAGCGTGTCTAAACGCATTATCACTTTTCAAACCTCGGTCTCATGTAGCACGGGGCGGTGGGACACTCGACCCCCTGGCAGCGGTGTTGCTGGAATTACCTACACATGACAAATCAAGACCATATCTGGGAAAATAATCGGGTCCCCGCTGCGTGAAAACTCCCATTAGGGAACAACACTGCCACTGTTAATTACCGAAATGGGCTTTTGTTCGCTGGCAGAGACTATAACTACAACACAACAAACCCGAAAAATCAACACTTTCTCCATTGCTGGCCGATTTAGCTTGGTGAGACCTTTGGCACCTTTTGCTCTTGTTGACTTTGTGGAGGACACGGGGGCTGTTTGCAAACACCGCCAGCATTTAAGATATTCAGTTATTATTCTGCAAGTTTGCCCGCGGCGCTGTTTTTACAGTATTTAATTGGTGGATAGGAAACTGCACGATTTCAGTGATGACCAGTTTATCAGGAACCATCTGGAGTGTTTCGTCCACGCCGACAGTTGGTCTGAGATTGGTCACAAGGCTGTGGCGTATAGATAAAACAGTTGGCAAACCATGACCTCTAGTCGTTCATTAGTGGGAAAAACATTTCCAGAAAAATACCAGAAATATGTTCTAACTTATAATAAGAAATAACTTATGATTTCAAGAAACACACAATTTCCTGATTCTTAAAGATGCTCCTTTAATATGGCAAAAAGCTTTAACGAGTCGAATAGTTTTTTAAATCCAAAACTTTCATTTTAATAAAAAAAAAAATCTAAACTTCACTTTAGTTTTAAGTCGTAGGCAACTGTAAATACTGAAATATTGTTCATTCCAAAAGTTTAGTAGGCGATATTTCTTCCGCCTCCGTAAACTACATCGTTGTGCATTTGCGCTGTGGGATTCAAACCTTTGTAAGACTCATATGCATTAAGATTAGTTTCCAAAGTAGATGCAATGCCATAGACGTCTGCTCATTTGTGCACTTCTTAAACTGGGAGTTAAGTTGAACACGGGGCTTTGAGCCCCGCCGGAGTGGAATGTGAAAACTGCCCTCTCGCCTTCAAGCATCTAAATAATGACAACTAATGGGCTTTTATGCGGGTAAGCCACTTAAAATGTCTCTCACTCCCATCATTAAGGTTTAACCTTTAAAAGACGTAAAATCTTTTTAAAGAACAAAACTATTTGAAATTATTAGAGAAATCTACAAAGCTACCACACGTGTTCAGCAGCTTCTATTTTATTAACTTCTTAAAATTGCTTATTGGTCATTGGTTATAATGCACAAAATGCACAGTAAGCTTATAATTTCTATTGGACATTGATGGAGCCCACTTAAAAGTACTTGTATCGCAACAAGCGCCACTGTCTGTCAATCCCATCCAGTCATACGATGTCCAATCAGGTTGCCCCTTTTTCCTTTTTTCTTTTTTTAACCACACTTTTGGGGCCTATCACGCCGGGCCCTCAAGCTCTCACTTCTCCAGCTGAGGGGAGGGGATACGACCTTATTTGGGATTTATGACCTTATATGGAGCGCCGCCAGTGGAGGGCAGCCGTAGGAGGCAGCCTTGCCAGTGACACTTTGCCGAAATTGTAGCTTTGACTCTCAGACAGTCGAAGGGTAAAGCGATAGTACAGTCGAGCGGCAAAGCTTGTTCAGCGAGGTGTTTCTATTTAGACTCTTCCACACTGACGATCATCCAGAAGACACTGGAGATATTTCGCCCGTGTAGTTGGTAAATAAATGTCAGAGCGCCCACTGACGTCGCTTTCCAAATCGTCACCTCGGCGCGCAAGAAAAAGAGGAACAAGGATTGCGTGCTCCCCGGGACTTGCGCTCCATGGGCTGCGTTATCCAGAAGCTTGCTGGGACTAAATACATCGAATGATATGAGCATGTAGTCAGTGTTAATTCTGCTTTTCATTCAATTTAGACGTAGTGTTGAGCTTGTGGCTGAAGAAAGGCGCATGAGGCAACACGTTTTCTTCTATATTCAGTTTCATTTGTCCAACTTTAAATTCTAGAGGCAAGCAAATAATCAGACGGCTTTTAATTTTGACAGCAGAGACTCTGACTTACTGGACTGACTTTCCCGAGAGGTTACGCTCTGAAGAACAACGTGTTTATGGATATCTGCGCAGCAAGGAACATCGGGAGTTGTAGGCTTTGCACTTCTGAGTCGATCATGTTGATACCTTGCTTTTACTGTAAACTTTGATAGATGTTTACAGGAAGATTTCGGCGACAATAAGAAATCACAGTTCTGATACGCTCAGACTGACCTCTGGGGAAAGTGGGACGCGCTTTTTCGCCCTCCCTCGTTTTTTTCTCCCGAGACGTCAGGACGGATCTCTATCACGCAATCTGACTCTGCTTCTGTGGTTTAAACAAAGACCAAGTGTTTTGGGATAGCATGGCAATGGTAGTAAATCAATGGCCAGAGAACATTTCTGCAGATCCGGGGTCTCAACTCCAGATATGCGGCCAGGAGCCCGGCGGGGCACCTGGAACACCAAACGGTTCTACCCCAGGGAACGACGCACTTTCCGGGGACAAGATCCCCAACGTGGACTGCATGGTGTGTGGGGACAAGTCCAGTGGGAAGCATTACGGTCAGTTCACCTGCGAGGGATGCAAAAGCTTCTTTAAGCGTTCTGTGAGGCGGAACCTCACTTACACCTGCCGGGGGAACCGAGACTGCCCCATCGACCAGCACCACCGGAACCAGTGTCAGTACTGCCGGCTGAAGAAGTGCCTCAAAGTCGGCATGAGGAGAGAAGGTAAGGCTGGCTGCTCTCTCTCTCTCTCTCTCTCTCTCTCTCTGCGTGTGTGTGTGTGTCGGATGTCAGACTGTATTTGTAACACTGCAGACATTTATTTACAAAACGTATTTATGTGCGTAAAGCTGTGCGCAGTATTCTCAGTTTTTAAAACAAGAGTGCCATTAAGTCTGGAATTCAGTCGTAAAAGATGTAAATGTTTCTCTGGTTTCACTTGTTTCATTACTTCTTAAAAACACATTTGAAACAAGAAAACACGAGTGCAGACGAACCCCTATCAAAAGCAGGCGAAAGAAATCAATAGACAAACCGAAGGCAGTCTTCACTTTGACAGATTTGCTCTGACTGCAAGAAAACAATGCATTCAAACCTAAATTCATGTGACGCTCACACAAAAAGATATGTGTGTAAAAGAAAACCTAGTGCCATCTTTTGTTTTGCATGCACCCTGACTGGTTTACGCGTCTTCACTTTTTAGTTATTATTATAATCAGCATGCTTAGACCTTCTCACACTTCACTTTTTTTTTTTTTACTGAATCTGAACCATTCATCCCAGCGCTCTCTGTTCCGTGAAATCCTCCCTTTGTCACGCAGTTTTAATTATGCTGTTTGCACACCGACACCCCGAGCCGCTATAAGAGGATGCCGCTACATTTGTTGCATTGTGTTGGATTAACAACGGGTCAGTTAGTGCCAAAGAGGAGCGGAGCAAACGTGCTGGAGAAGAGCTTTCCCTTATGTATTGTCATTCGGTAGCGCTGCATCGAATCAGGAAGCATGAGATTGTGCATATTTAAAATAAGAACCAGCATGTCTTCTGGTTGAGTTATAGATTCATTAAAGTAGTTTCTGCATTTTGGAAAGAAAATAAAGAAGAACGGGGTACTTTTAATTTGACCGATCACTATAATGGAAATGTCATATTACTATTACGCACGATGTTACACAAACTGTGCACATAAGCCATATGCGAACAGGTGAGATATGAGCAGTTAGGTTTTAATTATACCGAGTGAAAAAGTGGCGTGACTTCAGCGGTCCTCAAGAGGCTTTAATGAAGATGTCACACTTCGCCGTTTTTTATTTTCCCTCTCAGAGGACAGAATAAGGTCAGCAGCTGCGTCACCGTGAGCAGTCCTCCAAAGGCACTAGGCAGTGGAAGTTGAAGGACAGACCCCGCCGCCTTTTGCCACAGCCAAAATGTAAATAGCAGACAAAGACGTTGGAAATAACCCGCTCTCCTTAGAGACGAGCTGAGAGGAGATGATCCCTCAAGGGTTAGTGTGATTGAAGTCTGTGCCTCTGGCAGTGTATGTGTGTGTTCACTGTACACACAGTATTACCTCATGTTAAGTACCCGCAAGCCACACCAACTCAGTCATGCTCCATACCGACTGAATGAACCCGAGGAAATCTCCTGACGCGCCGCTGCGTGGAGAATAGCCAGTCCTTCTGATTCGGTCTGTAAGAAGGAAAATGTTAAAGAGCTGAAAAGACATCAGTGAAAGGGAGTTTTGGTCACAGTTTGCACGAAAATATAGTGAAATAAATACGTTACAAGAAAGCAAAATATTAATAATTTAAGCGTAACATCTTAGAAGGCGTTTATGGGAAATGAACTATTTTACAGCCATTTTTTAAGAATATTTCTTGGCGAGGCTGAGACATTAAAATTAAGCATTTTCTCATCATCTGTAGAAATCACAGTTTTTTTTGTCTTTTGGCACAAATAGATTCTTCTAATTCAGTCGGGCAAAAACCAAAAGTTAAAAAAATGTTTCTCATTTAAATAAAACCTGAAAATATCAGTCGACTGAAGAAAGAGTGTGAAAAAAATCACGAAAGGTCTCATTTTGAAGGCAGTTGCTCATTTACTTGTTTATATTGACCATTTCTGCAGTGTTGGTTTTTAGTTGTGTGCAAAAGGCTTAAATGTGGAGTAGGTCAACTTACACTGGATGAGCTCATCTGTTGGTCCATTTGGGGTCAGTTGGATTAATCGCTGTCTTTAAATCCTCTTTGTCGACAGACTTCTGTTTATCAGCGATCATTTGTCTAGTTAGGACCATATTTGCTAAAGCATATTCATTGTCGGGGAATTTTTTACTGTGATTTTAATGGCAGGACGATTTCCAAATACAGAAGGAAATAGAAGTGAATTAGACGTTTCAGGGGCGTTAAAAACAGCTAAACTGCGTAAACACGATTTTTCATAAACATTAAAAAATAAAAAATAAATCCTGACGTCTAACTTTATTATTCAATCGCGCATTAACCAGCCTAGAAGTTAAAGATGATGGGTGTTAAAGAAAAAGTTTAACGACTTTTAAATCATATGTTCTCTCTCACCGTAGAGAGCATATATAAATATTGTTTTCTTCATATTTTTTCAACAGGCTAAAGTTTTCAAACAGATGCACATTTTTAAATTATGATTTACACAAGACATCTGCTAAATTCCAAAGTTTGACAATACTTTTAAAATAAAGCAGCAGATGTGCATGAAGATGTAGTTTGTTGAGCTGATTTGTCATTCTGTTAATTATTTAGAAGCCTTTTCACTTCCCTTCAAATGTGCTCGGTGATAGCATGTAGGTCATATGTGGGTGCAGTTGGCTAGGACATGTTATGCAATTATTATATAACATGGTTCACCGGCTTCATAGATGGAGTATTAGGATATGGGAAGATTATGTTTTTGGATAGCAGAGGAGAGTTGGTGATTAACCTAGTTTTCATCTTCACGTCATTCCGCCTCATGTAGAAGCAAGAGAACGCATGCTTCAAGTTCATCAATGACAGCGCTTCATGATATTTCTGCTACAATAAATAAATATTGATCTGCCTGAGAAGTCGTGCTAAAAGTTTTATGAGTGGATTGTGGCAGATTCTGAAATTCTTTGCTTTCAAGTGAGTGGTATTTGTTTCCCAAAGGGGACATTTGACCTCTTTCTGTAGACTGCTGTGTTGAACATAATATCATTTGTTGGAGACTCTTAACCAGGGCACCTTTCAGCAGCATGACAGCAAACATTTCACTGCTGGCTTCAGTAGGAGTCAAGCCCCTAAAACCTTGGCAGCGTTAGTGTCATTGTCTCACCAGGCAGCTACATAGAACCTCCACTTGTTCCTCTGTCAGTGCAGTTTCTAGGATGACTAGGAAGCAGAGAGGCAAAAAGAATCAGCCTGACAGTTCCTTTGAACCAGAGTGAATGTTTTAATTTTGAAACACGCTGCAAGGACGAGCCACTGACTTTAGTGAGGACGGAAAAGACACGTGGGAGTTTACTGCTCTGATTAATTCATTCATACACAGTGATAAGGTCATCTTGTCTCTTGTATGTGTCTTGAATCAGCTGTATGCACGCAACATTTGTGGACACACGCACAGCTTTTGGAGTCTAGTGATAGTAAATAGTCTCAACATCCATTTGTAGCACAAGAATCTGTAATACCCAAACTGAACATGCTCGGTGGGGAGACTGCTGCCTCCTCTGACCCACAAAATGCCAACAGCAGTGAAAAATATAGGTCAACCAAATCTAAAACATTAATAACACACAGGCTGAAGTCAAAGTCCAAAAGTGTGAACCGTCAGGGGCCTCTACGGTGAATAAATACCCTGCTGGAGTGCTAAAGTCTAACACGGTATTAACTAATCCATCCTCCACAGCGAGCAGGCAATTTAACACCAAAACACTGCAGTTTGGCCTAATTTTGGCACTAAAAATCTTTACGTATCCCAGTTGTTTGGCTATCGACAAATTTAAACACTTAACCCCTGTAACTAGACTCATGAGCTAAGTCATTACCAGAGAGCTCTCAGAGGAAAATGACTACCAGTCAAATGGCAAAACCACACAGTTTTCTCCAGGGTTGAAAAATGAAGCAAATGCAAAAGTGCCAAATACTGCAGTTCCTCAGTTAGCCAGTTGAGACCGGTAACAAAAAGAAAGTAATTTCCCATAGATTCCTATTCTACGCCATGAATTTTAGTTTTACAGAGAAAAAAAACACGTCACCCTACTTTTGGGGAACTTGGTGCTCCTTGTTTATATATGTTTAAAAAAATGTTTGGAACTCTATGAAACAGAGGTGGATGTCACGTTTCTGTCATTTGACATTTGGAGTACCGTTACATCCTGGTACCTTACATCTCCCTTCATAAAATCTTGATTCTGATTCTGCGATCCTCTCGTACCTGCTGTCACTCTCATCCAGTTTCCTGTCCTCACAGAGGGAGTGACCCTTACTGTCCAATCAAATTCTTTCCTGTTCTTGCCCTCATTTCCTGCAACTTTTTACATGCTCATTTTAGTGCATGATTTGATCGCTTACACATCCCATCACGTCCCAATCCCTGCTCCAACACACCTGATTCAAATAACCAACTGGGTATTATGTGCTACAGCTGTCTAAATCCGGTGTTTTGCAGTACTGAAACACCTAAAAACCTAAAACAAGCTGTCCTGAGGACCAAAATATAGAACCACTGCTTTACTATTATTGCCCAAAGAAAACTGTCCTAACTAACTAAAAATACTTCTTCACATTTTCTTGAACTTGCATGTGTTTTTTAAAATATGCTTAGCTCAAGTTAAACATACAAAAAAAAGATTTTGTTCTTAGCAGTCGCTAGCATTCTGTCACATGCACATTTGACTCCTGAAATAATTGCTCCACCCCAATGTCAAAGGTCAAACCGTCTGCTACTCATCATTTTACTGAACACTGAAGTGTTTTGTGTCACAAAATAAATAAATACATGGGGATAGTATGATCACCAAAAATTTGGTTTGCTGCCTGAGGGCAACACCATGGCATAGAAGGTTATAAAGTCCAACTTCAAAGCAGAAAAAGGATGTTTACAGCTGTTTTTCGGCACTATAGCTAATTTCCCCTCTCAGAAATATTGTAAGGGGATATTTTTTAATAGCTCACCCTTTTAAACTCCAGTCAAGTTTGAATATTAGGAGTGCGTCTGATTTGACTGATGGG